TGGTATGGACTCCTGAGTCGCCCGTAATATAAGTCAGTCTTCTTTTGCCCGAAGTGTCGACTAATGGTTCCGTATAAGCGATGGCTTTGTCTAAGAGTTTGTGGTCATTGAAGACAAGAGCTAAATGAAGATACAGTAAAGCATATCCAGTACTTCCCGTATAAACACTGCAATCGTCTGGATTAATGGTTTCGTTCACTTCATCTTCAAAACTCTTCAACAGTTTTGTCAAGTTTTTCATCAAATCCTCTTTGACTCGACCATTGAGTTCATCACCGGTTGCGTCCAAAACACCATCCGATGGACCAAAGTCTTCGTACGGGTTAATAAAATATCGTTTTTCGGACATTTGTTGTGATTTGCATTCAATTCAATTGAAATCAATTCAAATTCAATTCTTTGGGTGTTTTCACGATTCAAATGTGGGTTTGTTTTGACTGTTTGTGTGAATGACAATCAAATACGACTAATACATCCACTTTTTATTTCATATTTTAGGTCTTTTCAATTATTATCATTTAAATTAACTGGATTATAGTAGTAATATGTGATAATTATGTTCATGTAATCAATATATCAAATGTGTTTCAATTGTTTTTGATGTCAAATGAATTGAATTAAAAGTTGTGTTCAAAATAGACATCATTTATAGCGTCTAATGAGTGGTCTCTCTGATTGTCACATGTTTTGCATTGGAGTCACGTTTTGAGAAAAATAAACTTTGAGTTGACAAATGAGCAAGGTGGTCGTGGTATATAGGCAATACTGTTTTTAATTTAATCATTACACGAGTGACACATCCATTGTGTCTTCAGATAAGTGATGAGACACTCGAGGATTGCTAAGAGTCGTCGACACAAGAAGTTTAAGTGTGTGGACAACACGTGCCACGATAATGACCACAATGATCATGGTCATATTGGCACAGACAAGTGAGTGTTTGGATATGATTTGTATGCAAATTGATTTGACATATCATTTGAATGTATTTAACAGCAAATTCAAGGATCAGTCGATTCCCAGAAAATGGCAGCAAATCCTGGATCTGAAGCAACAGATGAAACACAAGACCAACACTAAGAAGAATAAGAGGAAGAAGATTAACAATGAATTGATTTGTGGTTTGTTTTGATTTTGTGATTAATTGAATGAATGGCGACTNATCTCTTATATAAATATTACTCTACATTTACAATACATTGAAAAGTCCTTTGAAATTAGTTAACTTGTTGTTTCGCAATACTAAAAATTTCATTTCTAATAATCATAAAATCTTTAATTTAATGGTTTAAATGGACTTATTTACGAATTTCCAAAAAAGTAGTCTTGGATTTAATGTGATAAACGAATAAAATTTTATTTTTGAGTAAATATTTTTAAATAGAATTTTCAAAATATATTTTAATGAGACCGAAGTCTAATGATATTCAGTAATTTCCTTCAGTTATTGGGACAATAATCTAATGGTAACCCCTATTCATCACATGATTACTATATGAAAGGATTTTTCACATTTTCAATGAAACTCTTGAATATAAGTAATTGTTAAAATTAATAATTATGAGATGCATCTAGATTATCTAAAATTAGATTTAGATTATAAATTGTCTACCCTGATCACTTTAATTTGGGGATCATTTGATGAAAATATTTATATCTTTATTAATGTAATGTAATATTTTTGTTTGTTATTATAGAACTCTTACAAAACAATCCTTGAAATAGCAGTCAATAAGAGAAATAAAACCCCAGAATCACACGTCTAAACATATCCTTTAAGTTTTTTATGTATTAATAGAAATATTATTGAAAAGGACTCCAATTATGTACCCAAAAGGACTCGCATTACAGTGATATATAGAGACACTGGTCTAAGAAGTGGTTGCTCTTGAAGTCCGGAACTTCTATTTATAATTAATTTAATTCAAAGTCCTTCACTAAACGCTATGCATTATTGTATATCTGATGGGATACTAGTAATAAGCAATAATTCAATTGCTATGGACTTCGTAATGATGTAATGATTTTCACAAAATCATGAGTTCTGCTTTAAATTGTATGACTTGATAGAAATTGTGTGATACAGTACTATAGGTTATGTCTGAAAGCTTTCTCTCGCAAACATTCATCACACAAATTGAATAAAAAGCATGATTTGAGTAAAACTTATTGTAAACTTATTTTCACTCTTTAAGCGAATGTTTCATTTATGTTACGAAGAGTTTTAAAGTTTGTGTAATACTAGCTTATCATAAGATACGTTATTAATATACCTGTGCTTTATGTTATAATTTGTAAAAAGTATATACAATACTCTTTATTTGATAATACTTAAATACAAAATCATCAAAAAAGTTTACATCAGTGTTTGCGATCAAAATATTCCGATACATGTGTGCGAATGATACCATTTTTACGACACGAGTGGTTGAGTGGAAAAGTTTAAGTCGCGGGCAATCCCTATAGAATTGCTAAAAATAGATTCCCAGCGTTGGGTCGACAGCACAACTCGTTTTGATAAAACTTTCCATAAGTTTCATAAATTTACACATTTCTGTAACTATAGCGAGCCGTAAGTCCTCTTATCTTATACTACACTTTATTCCTCTCAATACATGTACTCTTGAGTACAGGCATTCAAAAATCATATAAAAACAGAATCTCTGAAAATTCTTAATTCATTCAAAAATAGTTCTCAAACTTAGAAACTCTTTTGAAAAAATCAAAACATTCAGTGTCCAAATCAAGTGTTTTTCTAATTACTTGCGTTAAAAAGTGATACAAAACTAAAACCATGAATCGCTCGAAACAATTACAGGCGTCAAGAAAGATGCAAAAAAGCAGTCAAACTAATGTGAAAATGGGAGAGAAGATGTTATGTGCGGGAACTGCCGCCTGTATGGCCGATATCATGACATTTCCACTCGATGTAAGTTACAAATAAGCCATTGTTTTATAATATAGAATATTTGTCAACATAATCTCGATTCTTATAAAAAGGTGGCAAAAGTTCGGTTACAAATTGCTTCCTCATCAGTGAAACAATTGACTTCAAATGTGCTGACACTTCAAGCCAGTGGATTAGGTCCTCAATATAGTGGACTTTTGGGCACTTTGTTTGGAATGGCCCGCAATGAAGGTCTGAAGAGTCTTTACGGAGGAATAGTACCCGGATTACAACGACAGTGTGTGTTCGCTTCACTCAGAGTTGGTCTCTATGAGCCGGTTAAGGATATGTACACAAAACACCTTAATGTCGGTGAAAGTGCCACTTCTGTGATGATCATCAGAATAGCGTCTGGAATTACCACGGGAGCAATTGGCATTAGTGTTGCCCAGGTAAATGAACTTTTCCATGTAAAAATTTACTCTACAAAGTTTTCTGTATAAAGTTTCTGTAATTATTGTACAAAAATAGAAAATTAATTAGTATTTAAAATATAATTAGCCGACAGATGTGGTAAAAGTACGAATGCAAGCCCAGAGTAGAGGAACTGGTGCTGTGAAGTACAGCAGCTCTATTCATGCCTATCAGACAATTTACAGGAGTGAAGGAATTAGAGGACTGTGGAAAGGATTGGGTCCTAATATACTCAGAAATTCTGTGGTAAACGCTGCAGAACTTGTCTGTTACGATACAATCAAAGAATTGCTTTTAAGTTACGGGATATTCAGAGATGGACTTCCTTGTCATTTTAGTGCCGCCTTTTCAGGTATTTGCGAAATATTTTCATTTTGTTAAACAATTTTACTAACGGCATGAGAACTAAATGATTTAATATCGACCAAAAACACGGTGAAACCACAGCTCGGGATATCTACACCACTTTTGGTCTAAATACTTGAGGTGCCCTGTTATGTTTTCACAAAATGTAACGCGAGTCTGTCAGGCCAGACAGGCAGGCTTCCTTGGCTTTTATAAAGGGTTAGTTTGATCTGAATATATAATTTGATAAACTTTTATACTGAGCCATATATTGAATGTATAGATTTACGGCATCATTCATGCGGATGGGCTCTTGGAATGTCTGTATGTTTGTCACCTTCGAACAGCTCAAGAAATTGAGCGCTCAGTTCAATAGTGAACGACAATCCAATGCCAGCAAAACAAGTCTCGCAGTTTTGGCCCAAAAGGCAACTCTTTGATCATTCAATGGATAAGATGTGATGCAATTGTCTCATCTGTCTATGAGATCAATGCAATGCTTTCAATGCAATCAATTCTCGCAAATCTAATGATTCCGTTCCAAAGGTTTGAGTCCTGTTTCACAACAGACTTTGACCACTGATTCAATCGATTTGCACTCACGCGGAGTTGTCTTTCATTTTGTGATATTTATATTTTTTATTAACTTTTATTATTTGTTAAGTTATTTAACCTTTACTTATAAGAAGTATAAACAATGCAAGCAATTATACCATTCCTATACCTCATGTTCCCCTTAATTCTCATCCTTGTATTCAATATTTTAATTTATTTATATTTTTAACGAATATTTAAACTTATGATTGACTTTGATTTTTATTAAACAATTTTTTAAAATGANATTATACCATTCCTATACCTCATGTTCCCCTTAATTCTCATCCTTGTATTCAATATTTTAATTTATTTATATTTTTAACGAATATTTAAACTTATGATTGACTTTGATTTTTATTAAACAATTTTTTAAAATGAAAAATACTTGTGATTTTGTTATATTCTTTTGGATAATCAAATATACAGTAATTAAATACAAACAACAAAACAATATACAGAATCTGAGAAATCATAACACATGTAAATCATATTCAATTTCAATTAAATAATCAGTAATTATAATATGAGAATCAGGAATTGCACTCAAATTGAATGTTGACTAATAATACAATATATTGCAAAACGAAATGAATAGACAATAAGTTTTTATGAGATCTGATATCCAGGGAATCGACTGTTCTTTGGTTGCAACAAATCCGTCAAATAATACAGAGTTCCTGCGAGTCCTTCAAACATAGATAAGGGGTGATCGGGTTTATGGCAGCCGTGCTCTCCATAAGCACAACACCACTGACCGAACTTCACGGCTCTAAACACATACTTCTCCTCTCCAGTCAACTGATACAGTCTTAAGAAGGCGTAACCATTTCCTGCTGTCCCGTGACATAAGCCATAACCTAATCATCAAATTACAGATCAAAACAATCAGTTTTTTAAACAATATTTCAATCGATTCTCAATATATCGCCAAACCTTTAACAAGGAGTCCTTTTTCCCAAACGTGTTCACCACAGTCTTTGGCTGCCATCAGATACCGTTCCTCTTTGAACACCTCATAGGCCAACGCAAACAAATTGACGGCACCGGCAGATCCATGACACCAATGGACCAAACGATCGTACGGATTGGATAAACTCGAGGGATAGTTGCCTGAAGGCATACGAAGTGACAAAATGTAATCAATGGTCGGTTTCACGCATTTGTCTAACTCTTCGTCCGTCAGATAACTCTTGGCTTCCAATAGAAGAGACATAATTCCCATCAATCCATGCGCTGCTCCGATGTATTGCTTTTGGTGCCAGTAATACATTAGCGGACACCTGTCGCTCACTTTATCCCTTTTGGCAGTTCTTTGACCGGATTTAATGATAGCGTCGACAACGGCTCTGATGTCTTGGTCTTCGATAATCTCATGAGAAGTTTGGATAAATTTTCGGACAAAAAGCAATGAATAGAGAAAACCAGATCTTCCGTAAAGTAGTTCATCGCAGACATCGGTTTGTGTCTCATTGTCTGCAAAACAAACCACAAGTTTCTTCAGTTTTCTTAACGATATATTGGACTCATTTTGATTGGCTTTCAAGTAATGAATGTATGCATTGATGGTATGGACTCCTGAGTCGCCCGTAATATAAGTCAGTCTTCTTTTGCCCGAAGTGTCGACTAATGGTTCCGTATAAGCGATGGCTTTGTCTAAGAGTTTGTGGTCATTGAAGACAAGAGCTAAATGGAGATACAGTAAAGCATATCCAGTACTTCCCGTATAAACACTGGAATCGTTTGGATTAATGGTTTCGTTCACTTCATCTTCAAAACTCTTCAACAGTTTTGTGAAGTTTTTCATCAAATCCTCTTTGACTCGACCATTGAGTTCATCACCGGTTGCGTCCAAAACACCATCCGATGGACCAAAGTCTTGGTACGGGTTAATAAAATATCGTTTTTCGGACATTTGTTGTGATTTGCATTCAATTCAATTGAAATCAATTGAAATCCAATTCTTCGGGTGTTTTAACGATTCAAATGTGGGTTTGTTTTGACTGTTTGTGTGAATGACAATCAAATACGACTAATACATCCACTTTTTATTTGATATTTTAGGTATTTTCAATTATTATGATTTAAATTAACTTGATTAAAGTAGTAATATGTGATAATTATGTTCATGTAATCAATATATCAAATGTGTTTCAATTGTTTTTCATGTCAAATGAATTGAATTAAAAGTTGTGTTCAAAATAGACATCATTTATAGCGTCTAATGAGTGGTCTCTCTGATTGTCACATGTTTTGAGAAAAATAAACTTTGAGTTGACAAATGAGCAAGGTGGTCGTGGTATATTGGCAATACTATTTTTAATTTAATCATTACACGAGTGACACATCCATTGTGTCTTCAGATAAGTGATGAGACACTCGAGGATTGCTAAGAGTCGTCGACACAAGAAGTTTAAGTGTGTGGACAACACGTGCCACGATAATGACCACAATGATCATGGTCATATTGGCACAGACAAGTGAGTGTCTTGTATATGATTTGTATGCAAATTGATTTGACATATCATTTGAATGTATTTAACAGCAAATTCAAGGATCAGTCGATTCCCAGAAAATGGCAGCAAATCCTGGATCTGAAACAACAGATGAAACACAAGACCAACACTAAGAAGAATAAGAGGAAGAAGATTAACAATGAATTGATTTGTGGTTTGTTTTGATTTTGTGATTAATTGAATGAATGGCGACT